AAAATACCATTTCAAACCACTATAATGCTTATTTATTTCTTTACCGCTTTTAGCCCTTATTAATTGCTGTAAATTCGTAGTGCGATGGCGATAGGTACCTTAAAACTAATCACCCAATAAACTAAACAGAGTAAACTGCTTTTTTATTGTTCTAAATCACGTTCATGAATGAATAGACGGAATAAAGTAACGTGCTTGACTCATGAGGGTGGGTATTTGTAACTTACAGTTATACTAACTGGATTTGAATTTGCAATTTGACTGTCGTTTACAGCCGGTAGTGCAGATCAATCTCAGAAAAATGTATTAAAACAGTAGGTAATCAATATGACAATAATCAGTACACAAATCTCCACACGTTTTATCGAACTAGAGCGTGTGCATTATTTTATTATTATAATAGGGTTGACAGATACCGTGTGTACCTACATGTATTGTAACCGGATAGTGAGCATTTGAGCAGGATTTTTTAAAATTTTTGCAAGTTACGTTCGAAAGTACTTTTGAGTATACGGTCCTGAACTTTTAAATTACGCGCTAAAAAGTTAAGTCGGATTACGGCACAGTTTCTGTGTACTCAGCAATGTTACTAATATCTAGTTTGCGCTATTAAATTTTGTGGGAGTTAGAAAGTCCACGTGATCGGCGAATTTCTTTGAATGGAGGGATTTTTTTGATTGGTAAAAGCAAATTGCGTAAAAGGGAGAGTCTGCTTGAGAGCCTGGAATGAGTGGGCAAGGAAGGATTCGCGGTGAGTACAGAGATACTGCGGAAATTTCAAGTGCAGGGTGAAATGTTGTGACCCTAACTAGTGTAACTTCCGCTGAAAATTGCTGTTTACAAACGTCAATTTTCAAGTAGAGAAAAGAACAAAGGACAAATATATTTAAACTTACGGTAAAGTGGGATAAGGACCGTTTTTTCAAAAACGCATTTATATCGTAAAATCGACTTTTTTTAAATTGTTTTAATTTTAATTTTGAATATTTTGGCCTTACTACGTCACGAGGTTTTGTTTAAAAAGCGAGGGTTGTAATAATTTGCCCCATATAGTAAATAAGGTCTCCTTTTCTTACATCAATAATAAAATTTGCAACATCCTCCAAGTAATCGCTTCCTTACTGTTTGAATACTATAAAAAATCGACAGTTTCTGAAGTGCCAAGATGTACATGTAGTTCAGCGAGTCCATTCTCCTTGAATTAATTCTTAATAACAGGTAAACTTCTTTTGTCAGCGATCTCTCTATTTCTTTGACTAGAGCCCCACTGTTGGGGGCAATTTTGCACGGACCCTACGCTGCAAATAATTTGTTGACGATTTGTTTGGTTTTTTATTAAACAGGAAATTGCAACCAGAAAACTGGTCATAAAAATTGCCTTCGCCTAGCTCATAAGGTTTCTTATTAAACTTTATCCCTTTTACTTTGTTTACGAAAGAGATCTCCTGTCCTTTAGCTGAAAAATTTGCTACAAATGGCTTTTTTTCAGGGTTTTTTTGTATTGTACTGTCCAGAAAAATAATATATAACACCAAAATGACAAATCACTGTATATTAAGAAAATCAGAAAATATTAAGAATTGTTTAAGAATGCATTTCGCTTTTTACATTAATTATCATTTACCAGAGGTCTATGTATCATAATTTGTGATACTTAAAATTTACATTGAAATTGTCTTCTCTTTTCTTACTAAACAGTTTGAAATTGAATTGCGGTTAATTTACACCTTACACTTTAATCGCACCTTAATTTTAAGGTTATGACACTTTAAACAATAAATAACCTTCGAACTTGGTTTAATTCCAAATGAAATTTATGGAATATCTTTAATTCCAAAAAAGATAATTGACTTAGACTGACACCAAATTCAGTGGGATTTTTTGATAATAACTAACACACTTTAAAAATAGACAATACTAGAGCCCTTTAAGATCCTTCGTATAAATAGTACAATAAATCAATATTTACCGTTTTACAACGGATCTTAAAGTTATTGAGCCAATTTGACAAAAAAATGCATAAATAAAAATGACTAACCTTTTTATTTACAATTTTCTCTTCAATGTGGAAGAGCTGGAAATCTTACGGCTGATTTTTTTACTGGTCAATACGGAGTAGATATCGGGTGGTTTCTAAAGGGTGGCATACTTAAACCGCCGGCTTGAAACAACCTCTAAACGATGGATTCTGCAAATGTAAGTGTAACTATTCTAATCTGATCACTTACATTATTTACAAATAGTCAAGGACTATGATAAAAGAAAAACATAGTCCATGGCTACTTAGACTAAAAACTCGTGAATCTTTATAATTAATTTTTTCGCGTATACAAGAAGAGGTAGAATAATCGTTTCACATGATTTAGATACAAAATTTATATCTCTATAACTTTTATTTGAAGTATTTTTGCGTAAACTAATTAGGAAACGTTTGCGCATAGAAAAAGTAATTTCCCATGTTAAACGCCTATGTTCCACTTTTCGATTTACACCCTGTACAATCGGTCAATGGGTACTTATTGTTTTCTTTAAATTTTCCTGCAGCAAAACTAACATTCTACCAAACAATCCTCTATCGAATTTAATTTCCTTGATTTTTCTTTTGATTTCCAAACACTTGCTTTGATGTCTTGTATAAAAACCTTTACGTTCATTTTCGTTGGGTTCTGCAAATTTGTTGGTCACATTCAATAATGCAATGGTTTCGAGTTTCTTCTTCTATTTTATTAGAATTTAGCAAAGGTTGAACTTGCTGATGCAAATGTTATGTTCTTCTGTAGCAAGTGGAATGATAGCCACATGTATGATAATTACCGTCCTGCGACAAACAAAAATCACTGTAGTATAATTTTCATTGGTCACTAACCTGGTCACTAAAATTTCTTTATATTTTTCCAATGTATAGCGTTTTGAAAGGATTTAACACCAGATTTTCTTTCTAAATTAATATGTGCACAACCTATTTTATTGACAGGTTGAGAGAAATCCATAGCCTTAATTTTTAACACAAAAACACAAATAACAATATGTATACTATAAATAAGTGAAAAAGGGAAACCAGAGGAGATGAAAAATAGCAGAACAAAACGAGAGATCACAAGTACAACAAAGATTGTGATCTATAAAACCATTTATAGGTCGATTATAACACTTGACGTGGAATATCCAGTATGTCGAATTACAACACGAATAGAAGCTAATTAAACAACTTACAATACAATGAAAATCTCAAAAAATTAAACTAGATCCATCGTCTCAAATTTAAACGTAACAATCCACTCATATATCATCCCTTCTTCAACGCCGTGGTTTACAAAATATGGCATGGAATATCAATTTTGTTTACTTACTCTCGTCCGATGTTAGCAATATGAAATATTACCTGGATTATGTGGAAAGGACATTTTTCTTAATAACTTTAGGTATTGTTTTCAAATAAATGTGTTAGTCAGTTAATAAATTTGCATGATGACGGTCTTTGGAGTTGTCTGCCTTAAAAACGCCGCCGTCTTGCGGGTATGATAAAAGAACCTGGTTGCTCTCCAAAGTTCGCCTACATCATTGACAAACGTTTTTCTGAAACTACTTTAGAAACAACTACTTTCGTCTCTAAAATGAGTGAAGAAAATTCCTCTCTAGTGAGGAAAGTAAAAAACAATTGCTACGTTAATCTTAATAATGACATTTAAAATTGATACACACCCCTATCTAGATTGCTAAGTGTCAAACTTCATTATTGCATACGATAATTTTGTTTATTTTGATTGTGGTTTCAGAAAAAATTTATGTAAAACTTGAGAAGAAAGTGTTTTTTAACTATCGTTCATTTACACACTTGATGCACAAACTTTGCACTCGAAACCTCCACTTTCTTCTCTAGTTGTACAAATAACTATTAAAGAGCACAAACCTTTGGTATATAAAGTGATTAAGTTCAAAAGCAAGGTAAAACCAATCTTCTGAGTCAGTCAGTAGAGGGTGTATTTTTGATAAAATGAAAAAAAAATGAGACTGTAGTTTCATGTACCTTCAAGCATACACCGATGGATCCGTGTTGCGTTAAATTTGTTTAATGACGGGAGCGGGGAGGTTTCCATCTACCATCATCTTACCAAAAATCAGCTTTATACCTTTTTTTTAGAACCGTAAACACTGATCGGTGGTGGATACCAGTTCGCGTGTGTTACGTGGGATTAGATTTGATAAATGCTTTTCAGCGATTGTATATTAAGAGATTCAAAGATAGAAGTGTTAAGCAAATAATGAAGAGTTATTATTATAAGGTTAGGGGTAGAACGCTCGAATACGTCCAGTGCCGGAGTTATAATTTATGGTTTACGTGATGTCCACCGAAGTTGGTGGAGGAGCATTTAGAATGCATTGAAATGTCATCGATACGAAGTTCGGGTATATTTTATGATTGACATGGAATAATAAACGAGCTAGCCAACTACCCCCCGTATTGGCCCCTGGACGGCAACCCCCTACAATCCCACTTAAATTAAACCGGATTTCACAACAGGGCGCGAGGAAATTCGATACACGCAGCATACGCACGATATCCCGAATTAATCCACGCATTGGCCACGGGTCTTAGTGCGAGATTTACTTTTTAATGTTCGTCGCCAGTTTCCAATCATACCAGGTTTACCGTAGTCCGAAAGTTTAGGCTTAGGAAATGACCAGGCCATATTACAAATTTAAAGCAGCAATTGTGAGCGTGGTCGTTCAGGAGGAATAGGAATTGCCACTAACACAATGTGGGGACTCGTGCGCCTTTTTATGTCGTTCCAAATGCGTTTTAAATCTTACTATTCGATTCCCAAATGCACTGCAAACGTCGAAATGGAAGAAAGCTCATCTTCTCTATCTGTTTCAATATCCACCGCATCCACGACCTCGATTGCTGATCGGATCTAAGCGTGTTTACATTTCTTTGATGACTAGGAAACGGAGATATGCGATAAGTAGTTGATATGGGGTTGCGTGGGTGGTGAACGCTACCGGTAGCCCCGGACATGATGATAGAACCAGTTGTGACAACTAGGAGACGCAGGTGGTCCCGTTAAGGGCGCGCCTGCTCTGCATGCAGGATGGACAAACCGGCCCTGACCTACGTACTGGATATCATGTGTAGCGAATACAGATACGGATCTCGATAACTGCTCGGAATCCTCGCCGATACCAGTTTTCATACTAATGCGTACGAAAAACTTGTCGCTTTTGGCAGCGCTCTTTTTCCTATATAAACAAGATGCTATTGTCCGATCTTAGTCTACTATAAAATAACCCTTCTACATTCTTACATCGAGAAACTCAACAGGACAGACGGGTAAAAACTAATTTGTCTGTAAAAAAATTGATGCGAAGGTATTGGAAGCGATTGCATTCTAAAAGTGGACGACATGTACACTCGATGATCGACGACGAAAGTATTTCATTTCTAACACTGGAAAATACAGACTCCGCCAGACATAAACGGCCCCTCTCTGTCTACGGAAAAGACCACCTTGAAACGCAGAACGCGACCTTCGCGATCAATCAAACATTCTACAATTTCTTTACGCATGCTTCACTAGGTATTGCTAGAATACTAATCAAAGCAATGACATTTGCCCTATCAAATTAAAATGATTTATTAGCTGAGGTCGGAGACCCTCTCGTATTAGCAACTCTATGATCATTAATGACACAGTCACTTGTGCATATTTTTGGCCACTCTTTATAGGAAACGCATATTTTCGGTTTATTCCATAGAATTAAAATCCGTCCACCCCACAGTTTCACCACCAACACAGAAAACACCACGATATTAGAGTCGAAGGGGTGAAATGTGAAAATTGAAAATAGGCATATTACCTACATATATTGAAAATGACAACGAAAACTTGTCCCCTACCATTATTGTTCTTAACTTTGTTACACCAGGAGCTAGTTTTCATTTTTGATGGTGGAAGTTGAATTCAACAGTAGATAAAGAAAAATGCCTAATTTGGTAATTACAGTAATTCCTTTAAAGTTTCGTTAGTTTTGGCAAAAATGACGTTAGTTTTTGATTGGTGCTAATGTTATTCCACAATCAAAATTGTACGTTTCACGTTTCATGGAACCGTTTAGTTCAAACGCAATTTTCGATTAAACTTAAACGGTGTGAGTTTTCCCTTCATTCAATGATTTAAATTTTCGGGAAATACTTCACACTGGTCTGCCATTTACATTTGTTTTCATGAAAAACATGTAATTTTTAATCATAACGAATTATGAAAATAAGAAATTCATAATAAATTTCTTCCATGGGTATTGCAATTGAACGCGTCCCCATTACACTTGCCGCGTTTCCACGTTGTATGGCAATATTTATACATTATCGTAAGTAATAGCTCGAGGTTCCCCAGTAATATTCGTTATGCGTTTTCCCAGGCATTCCACAAAATTACGGGCTTCTCTACACCCTTTACTTCGAAAGGTGTAAAAACATGGTTCTGTTCTATATTTGCCGCAGATCCAGCCACTGCACCATTCGTTTTACTTGACAAATTAACACCGGTGTCAGTGCAGGTGGCACTTCAAAGTAGCATTTTGTCCCCTAGTATTTCAACAGCACTCTGCTGCTTCTGATGTCAATGGGACTCCTAGTATAGTATATGATTTCCTATAGTAGATTCATTACTTATCTGGGCGAAGTCAGAAAGATATGATGCCAAAACTCCAGCTAAAGTCTCATCATCGAGATAGCCAAGCGTTAAGTTCTGCAATTAGTGATTTTGTAATGGGATGAATCGAGTGCGAAAAAACCATGTGTCCTACTCAGGGTCCTAGTGGATCATATTTTCAAAAGCTTGTCTTTACTAGAAGCATCTGTGGTTAAAATTTCAAAGAAATATCTCTTTAAATAAGAAGGTTGATACTGAGCAGTTTGTGCATGAGCAACATCGAACGAATTAAAGATCTTAAAAACTGTAGGAGTAGTTAACGCCTCGGACGGACAGACGGATTCATGTAAATCGTGTGCTTTTGCGAACCCTGTAACAGATCGGTGTTTTATGCATGATGATGATCCATTTTGGGTATGCATCAAATGCATCAAGTATACCCAAAATTTGTTCAAGGAGTTGTCAAAATTTATTTAAGTAATCCATCTTGGAATTTAAGGAATTTGATCGTGGCACCCAGCATTATTATCTGGAGCCACATGAGGCATTGCTTTTATTTTTTATGTGTTCGAAAGATTAAGGTTCACAGCATTATTATTTGCAGTTAGGGTAGTTATAAACTATTATAGGCGCCTTTTTCGGTTTGAACCTTGGTTTCGTTAATTTACTTTGCCTTTTGAGCGGACTACATTTTCGTTATCAAGCGGGTTTCTGGAGATATCCACTCCAGTCTAGTCAGTCACGATTAATATCGCATGTGTCAAGTTGTTCTATTCTAAAAAATAGTTGATGTATCAAATTTGAAACAATTATCACAGAACATAAGAGAGAAAACGCAAAACACGAGAAACAAAATTGAAACAGTGTATAAGGAAAATGACACCCTTTAGTTAGACTGTGCAGATTATTTGCATTATTTTGGCGAGTATTATCGCCCCCCGAAATATCTGCATGACACCCTGTATGTGTCAATATCCGCCAATAAAAAACTTTCATATTAAATTTTTTTGGCATGGCTTCTATTTTTTTGTTTTAATTGTCTCTATTTTATAGTGCGCAGGGTGCTAGCATACTACTAATTTATAAATGAGTCCGAACGCATAAACGATCATATGTATCAAACGCAAAGGTGGTTACATTTTCCGTAAAAAAAAATAGTTCTCCATAAGGTTATGATAGAAAAGCCCAACACGTTCTTTTAAATAAGTGCCAAAAAACGAAGTAAATGTCGCCAGTTCTAACGTTACATCCCTTATGGTTGCTGATTAAAGAACAAACGAAACATTTTCGGACTTCTGACATTGAGAAACATGTTTGTTTTGTATCCCTACTGGTCTAAACGAGCTCTAAAGTTTAATGCTTGCTCGTAACTTCCTGATGAGAAATCCATTAAGTTGCAACTCCTATTGGCGAATCTATAGCGTTATTTTGTACTAATTTCTACCACATTTGTACCATTTAACCATTAGTTCCAGGGGTTCCAACTTAAGGAGCCTGAGAAAAATGCTTGTGCCACAATTTTGCACTAATGTGTGCCACCATGCTTTTGAGTGTACAAATACATACAAATTTTTGTGCCTCAATTTTATACTTATTTGATCTAGATCGACCAACCCCTAACTACTAACCTGGCATAAAGTCATTTCCCATTACCTACGTAAACGTACCTCCTTACCAATTGAAATAATACTTACTTTTCTGAGTATTGCACTTCTGGGGGTCATAAATTATTAGAAACTGAATTAATATTTACGGCAGAAAATGAAAAACAAAGATATTTAAAAACATCCGAATTTGGAAAAAAAGGCTAAAATTAGGTGCAAAGTTGCGGCGTTAAGTTGGAACCTCAACCACTAATGGTGCTTACGGTACAAAAACGGTTGAAAATGAGTACAAAATTATGGCATAAAAATGTGCATGGATGGTGTACTCGAGGGGTTGCGCCGCTAAGTTGCATTCCCAAGATAAATTTGGTTGTGGCTGTTTAAAAAACGCGGTACCAAATGAGTGCAAAATTGTCAGAAAAAATTTATCTGAATTTGTATATAAAGGACCCGCGGTACAAATTTGTTGTACCAAATACCGCTAATAGTATTAAGTTGAATTGAATTTTGGGTGTGGGGGTGCGAAGTGTATATCACGTGCGTTAATGAAACTAGGATTCGAGGAGGTTTTGTTTTAGGGGACATCTCTAAAGCAATAGACACGAAAAGATTTCTAAAATTCGATCTAACGAAGTTGAATTCCTACTCTTCATGAAAAAGTGTGTTATTGTTTAGCCGCCATTTATCTCAGATTTGTAAGGATTGGAACGTGATTCAAAATTACAGCAGTTATTTGGACGTGGATGTGACGGGAAAACTTTAAAGCAGGGTATCGAAGAATCATGAGCGCAAGATAGGTAAAGTTAGACGGGTTGAGACCATTTGTACGTTTGAGGATGTGCACATTGATACATTTTAAGAGATACGTTGAAGTCGCGCTTAAGTCTATGCTTCAGCACACAGGGCACGACCGGCACGGTACAGCGGCGGCTACGTGATTCTCAGAATACGCTAGTCACGAAGAGGGCGTCGTCTGACGTCAGTCAATAGGTCATCAGAAGGTAGATATTGCGGTACAGCTGTGTCACGTCTGCATACGTGTTTCGGGTCCAACTGGTCTCATATCGTTGTCGAGGTGCCCGTTGGCCGATGACGATCCCTTAGCTGAGGGTATTCCATGAACCAAACCCACGTCCTAGGCGATACGTGCTACCATATTGCTAAACTAATCTACCGTTACGTATGCCGTTGCAGCACGTTTCAAGAGTAGTAGTGGGAGATCGAAGCAACCATCTGTTTTTGAAGGTTATTTTCTATAATCATCTTTATTATAAGATTTAGAAATAAACAACCTTTTTCCCTTAGGGATGTTTCTGACGCGGCCATCCAAATTACAGGCACCGACTGCATTTATTAAACGGTAGCGACAATGTTACTGCAATCCATTACTGAAGTAAATCAACATTTCTGCCAAAAGGATAATTTCGCAGAGTAAATGCAGAATCACGCACTTCTGCAGTAAGAGCAGAACAACCACGATTACAATAACGCTTCTCTTTTATGTAAAATATTCTAAGTTGCACAGTTTCGACCGCTCTAATCCTAAATAATAGAGACGTTTTGTAAGATATACAAATGTCTCCTTTGTTAACTAGAAAACTTTCAAAAAGGGGTTTTTAATTACTTTGAGCTACTGCAACGAACAATTTGAAACTTGAACCTCATATGCGTATAATGAGTTAGTCGGTCAGATGAAGAATAATTTTAGAACGGCTTTGTAACTAGAGTCATAAGCAATTTCCATCGTGCAAAAGCGTGAAACAGACGGTGTTTCGAGGACTCTGTTTACATTTCCAACAATACACCCATGAATTTCATCTTTAATAAATACTTTAAAAAAATTAACTTACCGAGCATTCACGGAGGTTGGATTACCCACTTCATCGACCGTTGGCTTCCTGGAAGTAAACCAAAAATCAGCGTATGCTAATCTACACAACATTGCACTGTTACATTGGGGGCGTACAACGATGCACTGATGCCCCCATCTAAAGTCCTTACTCATACAAGTTACCCTAAATAACTTCAGTATCTTTATATTAACCCCCACTTTCCCTCATGTAGACACGATTTCTGATAAGAATCTGTTTTAATAGTTTTTTCGAGGATAATTTGTTATGTACATCACACAATAACGACAGAAGACGACGACCCTTATAAAAGGGAGAAATATCTTTCCATTAGTAAACTTAGACATATACGCGATATTCGAAATCTTTAATTAATCATCGTGATTAAAATGCAGGAATTTTGATGCTAGACGAAGTTGTAAACTTTACAAGTGCAGTCTAATTTTTTAGTGTGTTTCCTACATAAAATCGTAAAAAAAAACTGTCAAATAAAGGCGACAAGAATGCGGAATTCTTAAAATATGATGCACTAAAGAAAATTAGAACGTGTCTGAGCGCCCCGACCATTGTAAATAATACAAGGATAATACTGCTAGGATATGCGCTGGGTACGATCGTCGCGTTCGACACATGCAATATTACTAAGCACGTCCATAAAATACCAGCACAAATTTTAGGTAAATGCGATGCCCCAAAATTCGCTTTTGTATTTACCCAAAATGAATACTTTCGGATTAAATTAATTTCGAAGAACAATTCCGCTTACGAATCGACTTCATTAATCGTTCTTTTGTTATACAACTGTCGTCCTTTAATGGAAATACGTTTTCCATTGAAAGAGTTTTCATATGGAAGCGAAGATGCCGCACCAATGTAGTTTATTTATAACAAACCAATACTATCTTTAATCTACATTATACTGGTTTGATATGCTATTAATTGGCATAGGGAATGACTTTAGTTACTGTAGTGTAATGCCTAAAGACAGCTGAATGCTTAAATTTAATCTTTTTTGATCATAATAGGATAATTTGCGCAATGCGTTTTGTTCGGTTACCGTACATGCGACAGCCCATCTTATCATTCAATCCTCGCTATCTATAATAATGCTTAAACCTAAGAGACAACTTCATCCCTCATTTAGTACCAACGCAGAAAGGGATGTTGGACGACTTCCGCTGGTCCACTACGTCAATAAAGTTTAAGGTCAGTTTTTGATAACTTTGACCAAAATTGCATTAGTTTTTGTTTTCAAACACAATAAAAATCATTGAAACATACCTAACCCTGAATTAATGAATAACAGAGTTAATGTTAACGCATCTTGTATTAAACGTCCGGAAACATGGAAAGTAGGTAACCATTGCAAAATGGCAAACCGAACGCAACATTTTTCAAATTAGCTTCTAAAATACGACTTAAATCAAGATTTTGTATATTAGAAATATTCTAGAGCAATGTCTAAACATGTTGGTTAAAGCAGAGCCTACTGTAGTTATCTGGTATTACGCATTAAAATAGGTTGAAAAATAAGCGTTTTGTGAGCGATTACCTCCAATGAAGACTGTATTATGACTTTTCCTAAAAGCAGCAAATGATTTTCTGTTTTTGGATTAGCAGAGGGTGCTTCGTCTTCAACAGAGGATTCTTTCCTGATGGCTATATCAACGTAAATACTAAACTACAGTATGCGCATCCTACAACTGCCCCCCTTGAAACTGCAGGAATTAATTAAAAACCTGCAAAAAAATCCAACAGAAAAAATATGTGTTTAGTGGGATACCATCAGTTTTAGTGGTTCACTTTGAACTATTCGTGGGTCCGTACAGTTTGCAACGAATATTTCCAGCAATGTGACTCCCCTAAAGAAACTAGGGAACGGTCTAAGTGCTTTGGTAGCGAACCAGAGTCCTTAAGCCGAGAGGCGGGAGTGGGGAGAAAGCCACAATTTTTGAATTTTTTCAAAATTTATTTTCAATTTATTTATTTATTATTCCTCTCTTGTTCTGGGGCCTCAACAGGTTTGCGTCCAATTACAGAGTGACCCGCATAATGCTTTTTAGAGGTGCCTCTGCAGAAGGTCTTAAGTTGTTCTATACTACTCCGGTATTTACCTTACGAATTAGGAAAACTGCAGGGGAAAACCTAATTCTGCTTGTATATTGAAAACGGTTCGTCATAAGGGAAAATGTTATTACCTTAAATTCTCTACAACTCATATTGTCACCACTTTTTTTGAATTTCTTACCATTTACGCTCTCAAAAAGCCAATTAAAAAAAGTCTTTACCTCGCGTTTTTTATGTCAAACATCTATTTTTATCGTCTAAACTGTTTATCAGAGATAGAAATTAGTTGAAGAGAATGGATTTCTCTTCATGAATATACAGGATGTCCTTAAGTTCGCAGTATAAGTAAGTAAATATTTTGGTAACCTCAAAAATAGAAGAAGGTTAAAAGAAGGGTTGTGCACAATGTTGTCACAGTTTAAGATTTTTTAAGTTAACATTCCCAGCGAATTTTGATTATACATGGATCAAGCTGGTGACACCAGCACTGACTCGGACGTGGTGGAACTCGATTACTCTGATGATTTGGAAGAGTTTTCAGATGCAATATTTCTGTGTAAATCAGAAAATTTATCGGAAACTGTCAGACTCGAAATAAAAGTGTTACAAGGTTTTCTTTGACCAATCCTGGTTGATTGGTAGTATGATTGAAAATAGGGGAAACGCATATTACCTACAATTCAATATGGCTAGGTACATTTATTTGGCCCCGAAAAGAAGACATTGAAACCGTTCATAATGATTTCATTTCTTACGGCCCTAATTGTTAATTAAATTGGTGGCGGTCCATTTCAATTAAAACTAGTCAACCAACTTAATATTAAAAGCAGATATAAAGAGTTTTCTACAAAAACATTTTTCCTTGTCCTAAAATTTATTTTATGATTTTTCTAATCATTATGCTCCAAAACACAGGAAAAGTACCCATTTTCCATATAAAGTTTGCCTTTGTGGTAGTTATGATAATAATTCATTTTTTTGAGTTATCATATAGAGATATCAAATAGTTCTGAAGTATTTCAAAATACTGCAAGAAAATAACGGGGTCTTAACTTTCACAGTGTCTACAGATATCACTTAAGTGATAAACCACAATTGAATATTTTTTAGAAGACTCATAGAGGTTAAAATGTGGTCAAGAAAGTCTAAATATGATTTTGTTATATACCTATATGGTATATTTATTAAAGTATGAGACACAAAATTTTATTCAAATGCCTGTAAAAAGCTTTGTGAAGCCGACGAAACCTTTTTTAACTACCCCGTTGGGATTCTACAGTTTAAAAATCTGTGAAATATTTCTTTAATTCAATTAGGACGATGTCTTCTTGGCATAAGTTGCCGATGCCATTCTACTTTTCTCTTCGTATTCTTGAGGAGCATTTACGTTTTCAGCTGTCTTCCGGCTTCCAAAGTTGTACTTTTTGGCGCATTACACATCTCATACAATTGTATATTATTTATTAAGCCTTTCATATTTGTCACAACTTTATCTATATTATAAGATATTCACACGATTCATTTTTTTGCAGACTTTTGGTCCAGTAGCAAGAAAATGCAGCAATGAAAAAATCAAAGTTGTCAGAATTTTCCAGTTTTATTCACCAATGAGGTTACCTAAACGGCGCAGATCTAGGTTAGTGAAATTTATTAATTTTCGAGAAAATGATTAATTAAGTGGTGTAAATCAAGGTGGATTTTGTGACTCTAAACTCATGAAAACAGTTTGTTGTCTTCATGGGGGTCACAAAATTCAACCTTAATTCAACTTGATTTATGCTACTCCATTTTGAGTACACACCTATGGATATCCTATAAAAATAAGAGGTGTAAATTAGAGTTGAGGGATCTCATACAATGTAAGCACACAAATGTCGTTCTTGCAGCAAAGTGAGAAGTATTGTCCATACTTCGCAGTACAATATACATGCTTATACAATTTTAATTGGGGGCTGGACTTGATTTAGCCCTCTTCTCAGAAAAAATAAAAATGTGTTGAAGCACAATGGAATATATGATCTAAAACTTTAAATTTTAGAAGGGAACTCGGTGTTAATTTGTTCCCTCGGTAAGAAAAATCCGAAGAAGTAATATTTGTTGCAGTATATTTCAAAATTGTATCAGCAGATTTCAGCACACTACTACCAGAAGTAAATACAAGAACACAAAATTAAATTGTTCTTGAGAGGGGGAGGGGGGAGTCATAAGTCGATCGATTTGCGTGATATTAACAAGAAATTCCTTTCTGTAGAATTTTTATTTTTAGCAATACTTTGGCAATTCATTGCAGACAATAGTCCAGAAAATGCTTATTATAAATATCCAAAATGTCTGAAATTTATGCGTCAAAGTGCTGGCAATTCTCCAGAATATTTTTTCCTCATTCCAACTTTTCCTACGTGTTCCTCGAGATCTCTTTGGGTGGTCTTTCGCATCCCGTATTCGCTTCAATAGAATCTGCTCCTTCATCCTATTATGATGTCCAAACCAACCTTAACTGTTGATTTTCTAGTTTTTGAGCAGTTGCTGCATTCAGTTTCAATCAGGTGCGGATCCACGGGAGGACCAAATTTCCATTCGGTTAACATTTCTATTCCTTTGCCTCCTATATTTTATACCATTTCTGACGTTATTCTGTCGTGCTGTTCTTTATTCCGCAATGGGCATATGCATGTGAAAAGGGGTTGCACGCCCTTTTCTTGCTTTAATTGACCTGCATTTACTACTGCGGACTTTTTTTTAAATAAAAATGCTTTTGACTTTACTGTTATGGTTACATTATGGTTACTACATACGGTTCCATTTAACGTTTCCTTTTGCATATTTTATGATGATAAATTCAATGTAACTAGGTCGATTTTCGTGAAGAAAAATAATTACAACGAAACCACTAAATTGGAGGTTTTCTTTATTAAATTCGTAACAAACTAACTTTTAATGAGAAATTGATTTTTTATCTAACAACTCCAATTTTAGTGGTT